AAGGTGACTAATTATACTAAAACAGCACCTACCTCTATTTGACTAAATATATATATTATATATATGTATATACATATTTATGTATTTCTACTAGATTTCATCAATCATTTGTGTAAAATTTTTGAGCTAATCATTAATTAAGCTAAGTTCTCAATATTATCTCATACTCAACTAGCTTCCTTTTCTTTGTACTATATACTATATACTATACACTATATTATATATACTATATAATATATATATATACTAGCTATGGTCTGTTGCTATACTAACTAGTCTGGCTAGTTTTAAGTCTACTGCCTCACATAGCCACGCCCTCGCTTATCAATAAAGCGTATTTAATATTCGTCCAAATCAAGGTTCATTTGGCTTTAACCATATTTTCTTTGGTGCCGAAAGTATAATATCTATGTAAGAGTGTGCTTATATATACAATTTATGTTCTTATACAGTAATATGGTGAATTTGTCATTGACCTGCTAAAAAACCATAAACATACACAAATATATATATAGAAATATATAAATATATGAGAATATATATACATATTTAAAGTATTTATTTTCTTTCGACATTGTTATGAAAAGTGTTGCATGTGTATGTACGCACACACATATGTACACATACACACATATATATATATACATATTTTAGTCACTATTATCGACGCATTCTGCTGATATACTTTATCAGCAAATAGAATTGCCTAAAACACACACTCGAAAAAAAAAGAAAATAAAACCGAGCTCTTGAAACGTCCATAGATATAGATATATACTATTCTAATACATGTACACATCTAATTATACATATATATATAGATCGATTCATGTGTGTGTTATTGATGATGTTTATATATATGCGCCTCAAGAACACCTTCGCTAGAAATATTTTTGAATAAAATTTCACAGCTGCTGAAGGTCAACAAAAAAAACTTATTAATAGAAAATTCAATCATCTTGCTTAACATTCAATTTTCATATAAATAAATACACACACAGAGAGAGAGAGAGAGCGAGAGAGAGTAGGAGGTAGGCATTGTAATTTGCGTTCTTAATATTTTAATTCATTTGCCAGATTTTTGACAGCTTTTGCCATTGCATTCCTTTAACGATAAAATATTATAAATATATATATGCATGTGTGTTTATGTATGTGCATATGTACATATATAACGGAAGTTGATATTGAGTAGAAATACTTGTTATATCGTAATGCGGGCTGCGGGCGGAACAGAGCAGAAGAGAGGAAGTAGTAGAAGAGCGAGAGAGAGATAGAAGAGAAGGAGAGGCTTAACTGCCAAACAGTGGCTGCAAATAGTTAATGCACTACAGAACTAAATACGTGTAGTTCTTATAATTAAGGTTGAGAACATGAAATTAAGAGAAGAAATAAGTGCATAGCTAAAATTAATGAATGCACAAATAAACTATATACTTTTGCAAGTATTTCTACTAATGAAACTAGTGAAGAGTAAATTGAAAGAGGGGCCATAGCAACAGTAGCTAATGTCAAACTATGTTACACATAATTACGCGCCCTTCAGCCTATCTTTTTTCTAATATATAGATATCATAACAAATCCAATGTTTAGTAGTACAAAAAAAAGCCCCCAATGATTAGATAAGCTGCCAGTTAAGCCAATAAAAAAATATTTTGTAACTATAAATAACCAAAAGTTTACTTTGAAATGCTTTATTATATAGGTATAGATAAATGTAGCAATATGTTGTAAGTGCAAATTATCAAAGTGTAAAGTTTACTTTAATTATAGATATATTAACAACTAGGTTGGCTATACACTAAGCAAATTATAGGAAGAAAAAGAGTTAAGAAACTATGTATAAAAATATGCATATACAAAACTCTGCAGACAACTCATTAGCTCATTATGCAGCAATCAAGTAATCTCATATATTCTAAAAGCTAATTCTAATTTTTGTATACACCTATGCATGGGTCTACCTAAAAGCAGTCTAACTGCTCGCACGCACTGTATATTGTCTACATTTACAGCAGCTTCCATAGCCCATTTCGCATTACGATGCAGCGCGCTGATCGGTTCATCAGTTGATGATTGTAACGCGCTGCTGCTGACGCTGCGACGTCGACTGCGACGTGGCCACAAATTGACTTAATGCTTGATTGCAAATCTTAACGCTTTGTCGAAACGTTCAGCGGCCAATTCTAATTGCTAACAACATTTGCTGCCCCGCTTGGCGGCGTGACTAAAAAACCAAAGAGCAGCCCCTTGCGCAAAAAAGGGAGAGCAGTTAGAGAGAGGGACAGAGAGAGCGAGAGAGAGGGAGCGGCAAAGTGGCAGTCGCAGTCGTCAATTAAGCGTTGTTGTAATTTTTCACTGTGCAATGCAATCGAGTGTAAGAAATAAAATGACAAACGAAGCGGTCAATGGAAGAAGTGGCAAGTGGCAAGTGGGGCCAGAGCGCAAAGGAGTGCCGCTCCAATTGGCTGCTGCACAATGCTAATGCAGCCCGTTATAAAGCCGAACATCTAATTAGATGACAACGGGCGGTGTGAATGTGTCATAAGCAACACATAAATAACAATTGCACCAACAATAACAATAACAACGACAATAACAATATCATATACATATCCTACACAGTAAGAAAAAAATTGAAAATAAAAAATATGTAAAAGCCTTTATCTAAAACTTGATAGCAGTACTAACAGCTAGCTGGACTCGAAGCAGCATAAGCTGGCGCATGCCTTTCCACTAAGGTACTCCTGTTCTCAAATAAACTTACTGTGTGTGCACACAGGCAACTAAGAGAGAAAGCGAATTTGCCTTTAGTAATGAGTATCAACCATGAATTCGCCTATTGCCATTTGCCTACTCCTTTCTTAAGTTAGCTTCCTGTTTGACACCAAGAAAGAGAGAGAGAGACAGAGAGAATACACGAACAGTGGAGCGAGCATTGCAATTGTTAATGAGGCGCATTAAATTCAATTTCAATTTATATAAAGCTACATTAGCATTTTTTTACTGTGTATAATTATTTTTTTGCTTTATGTATTTGTGTAGGTGGCAAATGAATCATTAATGCCAGACGCGACTGCCTGATAAGCATCTGCAGCTGCAAGTGCAGCGCTTATCAGTCATCGAGCATCGCATGGAAACTTTCGCTTGCGTATTGTGAATGCAACTGCAACTGCAGCTGTTCGCTGCAGCGCAGCGCTTGATGATGTCATTAAGCATTACTATAATTGCCAATGGCATGCAACAACAACAACAACAAATACATCGTCATCGTGATTGGACTGACTTGTTGTACTTAGGTTCATCAAACTGCTGTCGCTGTTGTGGCTGTTGCCTGTTGCCTTTGCGATTAACTTAAATCTTGACAAAAAGCGCGCAAGTGTCTGCCCTGACACAAACGTTTGACAGTGCTAGAGATGAGCGCGTGCTGTTTGGTGACACGGCGAATACACAAATTGACTCCAATTGGAATATCAACTAACAACGTTTTGCTTGCTGCAGTTTGCAAATTAATAACTTATCGTTTCGGGCTGTTTATGTGTTTTACACTTATGTATACGTATATTAATTTCAATTCGTGCGTATTCGAGCCAACGCAAAAATCACGACACGCATTCAATACAAATAACATGCAACTACAAACACGAGAAAAAAGAGAGAGAGCAGGGTGAGAGAGCGGAGGGTAGGCACATCGGTGGGTGTCGGTGTCGCCGCTGAGTGAAAGTGGAACTCGGCTGCTAAATTTAACTATGCATCGCTTGTTGTTGTTGCTGCTGTCTTAATTGCACGACGCTTCTCCGTTTCGCGTCTACTTGTTGCTATTTCTGCCGCATTTACGCTTAGTCAGACTGGCGGCATTTATTGTTGCTGTTGTTGTTGCTATTCGGACACTGCACTGTGGACAACAAAGACGTTTTCATCAACAAAATTTCATACAACTGTTTTCATTAAAACGCCTTTATTATATATATTCAATCTATTAAGATATATATTACATACATATATTTTATTTGTAGTAGAGTGGGCAGTTGAATCGACCGCATTTATTTGCGTTACCAATTTATGCTTAAAAAATTGTAGATTTCCCCCATGGTGAACTGTCATTTAATTTGCATACATATTTTGCAAACACACACACACACACATTTATACATACACACTGCATGCGTTTCTCATTTATATTTTGTCACTAATTGGCGTTTGCTGCGTTTCATGCTTTTTTCGCCGCCGTTGCTTAACCCATTTTTGGACAACGCCTGGCAGCAGCCACAACAACAACTACTACAGCGCCAACAGCTATGCGTGGGGGGCGTGCTCGCACGCGCTCTTACACTTTCTAAGAGAGCGCCGCAGACGCAAACGCAGACGCAGACGTGCGCTGCTGGAGGTCATTTGTTTTTCACACTTGTTTCACACACACAGACACACATGCACACGCACTCATTTAAAGAGCGAAAGAGACTGCCAGTGTTTCTACTGGAAATATGTAATTCTACGCTTTGGCCAACTTGAAGCCACGTTTCTTGCTACAATATTTCAATTACGGCTTAACGCATGCGCCCACAGTTAAAAACAGTTATAGAGTACTCTAAGCATATCTAACTGACTAGCATATACCCTGCTAAATTCGATCAATATAACTTTTGAAACGGTTCGACGCTAATTTGAATATATATATTTCTTACATTGGGCACTGCTTTATTTGGGTATGTTATGTATATTTTCGGAAGCTTAAAAACCCTTTCTTTCCTATTTCTAAAACATGTAGAGTAAACGTCGTTGACCAAACTAATTGCACGCATTGGAACACTCCCTCGTATATAACTGTTATTCAATTTAACTTGTTGCTTCTAGAGCAACAATTGGGCGCTCTCTTTCTCTCTCGCTCTGTGTTACAGTAGCTCTCTCAGCTATTGACCAGAACATTATAAACAAGCTAGCCGGAAAATGTGAGCGCAGAGAGCGGGCAACGGCAACATCAGCAAAACACACACGAAAATTACAGCTAAAAGCGAAAGAATAAAAAACAATTAATTTAAATAAGTGTATTTGTGTTAATCTGTGTGTGTGAGGCGAGAAACGCAGAAATCTTTTGCTTGCTTGCTTTCGTTTTGTTTGCTTTTCTTTCATTTTGCAACATTTTTCGGCGTTCGGTCTTTTTGTTGTTGGCGCTGTCCAAGACGCTTCTCATTTTTATTCCCTTTTTTGGAGTGTTGCGACTCATATAACACTGTGTGGGAGCGGGAGCGCATGCGGCAACATTTTATAGCTGCACTCTTCACATGCATTGCGCTCACCACTCAGCACACGCACACGTACAGAAGCGCGCGGGCAACACACAAGCACACATTCTCACACACATTCGCATACAAAACACACATACTATCACAATTGTCGCACTTATTTTATTTGCCGTGATTTTGAATGATTTTGTAATACGCGCGTTCATTTTTAAATGTAAGCTTATTAGTAAATTACTTGTATATGATTAATATATTAAATCAAATGGCTGCCACTTGATGCTTGGCTATAAAAAGTGCCACAATGATTCATTGACATTTGTATTTGAAATGCCAAAGTTGCCGCAGAACAGAAATTCCACCAAAATAAAATATACCCACACACATATTTTAAACACTCACTTTAATTTAGCATTTATGCTGGGGCACTTGTGCACTTGTTGTATATTGAGTATTGGGGAAATTTGAAATTTCGCACTTTTGTTGTGAACTGTTTCAAGAATTTGCGGTTACACCGAGCAGACGGAACGTAGCAAAACGCCGACGAGCGAGACGAGAGAAAACAAAACTGAATAGCCAACAGTGTGACCGCAGTTAGCTGGGTAAAATAATACAACAGCTGTGCAAGTCAGAGAATACCAAATACTAAAATACCTATTTGTAACTTATCCACTGGCCACCCTAACTACTTAATACTTAACAATATTGGAAATTTAATTAAAATACTGAAATTGAAATGGGCATTTCATTTTGTTTTATGTATTGAAACTGTGTTTGGTTTGATGTTTTTGCATTTTATGCAGGTTTAGAAGCTCATTCAACTGTCAGCAAATCAGTAATGTGATCATGAGTACATTTCAACAACACTAATACAAAAAATTCCAAAGTATCCTATTATTGCTATTAATGTTATATTATTGTGCATTATTTTAATGTGCATTCAAATCGATTTGAAATACATTTAAGTTGTTTGTAGCTTGTTTTGATGTTTGGTGGTGCATTGTAATCAGTTTTAAAAGCTCTATTAGCGGATATTCAAATAGGAGCGCCATAAAAAAAGCAACAATTTGCGTGAGCACAAAAACCAAAACAACATATTGAAACTGAAAAGCAAATAAATTAAAATAATATACTTTTAGTTAGTAATAAAAGCATACCATATAGAAACTGTTTACATAAACAGGTTGCCGGAAAGACCCTGCTACTATCCGTAAAACAAAAACATGCCAAAGAAACGCTTGAAATGAAATGCGCGCCAAAGGTCGGAAGACAGAAAGAGAGCAAAACTCATACGCCAGCCCTGCAAAGCAGAAAGAAAGGCCGCAGTCAGTATTAAGAGAGTGAGAAGATCAAAAGAGAAAAGTGGCTCCACTTACAGCCCACTTTAAAGCACATGCAGCACACAAAGCCAGCGCAAGTTAGAATCCACAAATTCTTATAGACGCCCGCATAGAGAGCCAGCCAGATGGACGGCTTCTCAAAGTCGAATCTTATGAATATATATCCGGAGAAGAGAATAAGCAGAATTGCCAAGACTAAGAGCCACAGGCTTAGCTCCAGATGCCATTTGCCTTTCGAGCTCTTCGCTGCAGGCAAAGAGCGAACTTTCAGATAAAATTGAGCACACAAAAAGCCCATGAAATAGCCTCCCAAGTTAGTGTAGAAGGGCGGGTATATCCGGTCAAAGGTCTCCGAGTTGCGAAAATACAAATAGCGATAAGTTCTATGATAAGAATATATAAAAAATACATTAATAATTATGCAAATATATTTAAACAAACTCAACTCACTCTGGCTTCATGTGGTAAACAGCATCCAGATTTAGGTAATATGTGAGAGAAGCAGGCACAGCAAATATGGCGAGGATCAGCAGTGCATAGATATATCTAGTTAATGCTGGGTGCCTGTAAGGGGATAGTTCCAAAACTATGCTCCATATATTAGCCCAATTAACTTACCTTTTAATTATGATAATTATGATTAGAAAAAGCTCGAAGAGCTGCATATCGGCTGCCATATACCAGGTTTGTTGGGCGCACTGGGAAAAAGGAAGGTTTAGTACACTTGGAGAAAATACTTTAAACATTTGTAAAGAATAAATTTCTTCAGTCAAAACAGAAGTTAATTCAATTCAAACAAATTGAAAATAAAAATTTGGAATTGCATATATCTCAAGTTTTTCTCTGAGTGTACTATCTAGACACCTACACTCTCCTGCAGCATATAGTTGTTCACAAAGAATATGTTCTTCCACCAGCTTTGACGGCAAAAAGTTCTCTCCGCCTCTGTCAAATGCCGCCAGAACGGACCATCGCCCAGACGGCTCAGAATAGACCCATTGAAGAGTATCAGGAGAGCTAACGAGGGCAGCAGTCTAAAATATCTATTGAAAAATACACGAAAGTAAGCTGTAATGCAGGTGGAAACACTCGAGGAACCATTGATCCACCCTCGCTCTGTAAAGTTGACGTAGAGCAAAAATGCGCTCATTACGAAAAAGATTTGTATAACGGCATTTCCATTCTGAAACAAGGATGTCTCGAATCTGTACAGATAGAGCTCGAAGAATTCGGGATTCTGCAGCTGCAGCGTCATAAAGATCATCAAAGTGTGTCCCAAGATTACGACAAAGACCCCAATCACACGGAATGCATCGAAGAAGCGAAGATCGCGCGAGAAGTCGCTGCTCGAAGGCAGAGTCAGACGATAATAGTTGCGACAGAGCGAAAAGCAGCACAGAAATCGTTGAGCTGTTAGCGAGTAGAAGGATTACAACTCTTTCTCTCTCTCCCTCTCTTTATATATTTATATATATAGATACCTCTGGTCTTGAGCGCCTGCTGGTAGAAGATATTGCCACATGCAGCGCTAGCCAGTCTTTGCCTACGCTTCAAGCTATAATCGTAGCTGGAGCAGATTATAGTCAATAGCAGCAGCAGCGCGAGTAAACCGTAGGCAGTCATATCCAGAGCATCTAAAATAAAGTTGATTTTTAATAAATCGATTCAATTCGCTCAAAAGCGCAATTTAAAGACATCAGTTAAGCCGGGAGCGACCCTCTATTGGTTGTGGTGTCGTGGCAGCGGGTTTGTCTGGCTTGCATCTTTTGAAGCAGGTTCGAAGCCAGCTCGATTTTGTAAAATTATATTTTTTATATCTTATATTTTTTATCTTATTTTTATATTTATTTATTATTTTTTATATATTGTATTATTACATTTATATAGTTATATGTTTTATTATTAATTGTTTTCATATAGTTTGTTTTATTTAGTATTATTAGTGTCAATAGCTGTGCTATAAATAGACACAAAAAGGACCATTCGTTGATGGCTGCCAAGCTTTATTGACGCAGGCTCGAAGCTAGTTCATGTATATTGATTATTATCGCGTTTATAATTTATTATTAATTTTTTATTTTACATTTTTTAGTTTTTTATTTTTTAGATTTTTTGTGCTATTTAACAACAGTAGATTGAACTTTTTCTTTATTAATTTAAATTTTATTTTTATTTATTTTTGTTTTTTTAATTTGAATTTTTCTTTTTAATTTTTTTTTCTATTGCAATATTAATTAGCTTATGATTCATAAGAGATTTAGTTTAGAACTCAATTTTTTTATATATGCGTGTCGCAATGCCAGTGGGTGTGACAGGCGTGCGTGCGGACCCAGGTTCAAAGCCAGCTGACAATGGCAAACTCATTTCGATTTCCTTAATTAATGATTCCAAAATTAACATACTTTTTTTATGGTTTAGAAAACTTTTTGAAACTAAAATTTAGAATATATTTTTGCCATTTATAACAGCCCGAGCTAATTGTTCCATCCAAGCACAATAAGATTTTGACAGATCTTCTAATTTACTGACTGTTTTACCCCCCTTTTCGCTCTCTATCTCACTGTCTCTCTCTTTCAAGCTATAACTTACCATGCTCCAATGGCTCATCAGCTCGCTCACAGTACTCGATGCTGCTGCGCAGGCGCAGCTGATACTTGGGGCCAAGCTCTCTATTCAGACAACTATTGATTAGATGATCGTAGTGCAGGCGCTCATCAGACGATCGCCTATGCACCTTGGCATAGTGACTGCTTAGCTAATAGTTAACGTAATCAATAATAGCTTTAGCTGAATCTCAGTGTCGCTCCACTTACTTCCTTGTCCTCGACCGTGCCCTCGTATAGCTGCTGAATCTGAAATCTGCTTAGAGTATGCAGCGAACGCTTGCAGCGCTCCAGGCAAACGCCCACAAACAGATGATCGTGTCTATAGTGATGCTTCTCATCCCTAGACACCAGCTCGATTTGCCGCCACAGCTCAGAGCTCGCATTGGGCCTCAGCTCCACATAGACCAGGCAATAGGTGCTGTGTGCTAGCAGCTGCTGACTCGGCTTTTGCTGCAGACACAGATCGTAGTCGTCCAGCTGGTATAACGGGGGCATTTGCCTGTAGAGCGTTACTGAAACCAGAGTCAACCAGAGTCACCAGCGTAGCCCAATCTTGACTCAACTTACAATTAAATTGCGTATTCGACCCATTGGCCCAGCTGCAAGTGAGAGGCCAGAGCAAAGCGCTGAAAATCCAGAAGTGCATCTTGATTTACGTTTAAAGATCTACTGAAACATTTTCCACGACTTTTGCACTTTATTAAATTGTGCAATTGCGTGTTCGAATGCAGCGCTTCAATGGGTTTTACACACAAAAAAGATATAAAAACAAATCAATCAAAAATATTATATATATATATATATATATTATCTAAGTCCAAAGTTATTACAGAAATTGCTTACAATTTGTAGAAGAAACTTCAAATGTTGGTCAATCAAACAATCAGTGTATCAATCAATCAAAACTTTTACTTTTACTTACATTTCAAAGATTCAATTCAACTTTCAATCTTCTGCCTGTGAGTCCCTCTGTCAATCAGAGTCAATCAGTTCATCAATCAATTATTCACTTTCCCATACAGATTATTTACTTAAATTTTAATATGCATAGCCCTATCAGATTTATAAGCCAATAGAAGTCACTTGTCCATCAATCAATCAGTTAATATTTTATCAATTATCAATCAATCAAGCAACTAATCAATCAATATATATGCATCCCATAATACAGCTTCCATAGGTATAAGGCTTTAGCTAAACACAAAGCTTGGAGTAACTCACTCATTCCACTTCATCAATCAGTCAATCAAGCTAATACATTGATGCTTTACATGCTACTCACTACATCAATCAATCAAGCAGATATGTATACATACCTACACGTATACATATTTAGATACATATTCATATATATACATATTCAGTATATATGCAGCTTCCATATCCGTTAGGCATGCAGCTCTAAGCAGCTCATCAATCAAACACTTGTCTATTTGTAGCACATTTTTCCATTTATTTTATATACATAAAGATAGTTTTTAAGTGTTTTTTTTTGTCTTTTGACATTTTAGCCCAAATGTCTGCCGGCAAAGAGCATCAGATTGCCTTGCGACTTGATCAGATAGAGAAACGGATGCGTGGCAAAGAATTTCTTACGTCGGATTGCCAAAACGGGCATGATGCGAAACACTGTGAACAATGTATACAAATGCCCTTAATATTTATAACTGTATATATTTGTTTATTTATTTTAAAACATGCTTGGATTAGTGTGCATAAATATAATTTTAGTACCATAAATTGTCATCGTGCGCAGTCTTAAATTCGAAATGTATTTGGTTTTGCTTTCATTGATTGACAGATTGAGATGATCTCAGGGGCTGGCGAGCTTGCCAGCGAAGAGCATCGCGCCCCGCCTGTTGACTATGTAATAAATAAATGGATGATCGGCATGGAAGCGGGTCGGTTCCGGCTGGAACATGGGCATCGAGGCAAAGCACATGACCATAGCTATAAAAAAGACATAATGGAAACAAGAACAAAACACACACGATTAGTCCAAAATGGTATCAGCTGATTGATGCTGATTGATGGAGTGTGATATGATATAGAATTTACTTCAAGTTCCAAGTAAGTTGACTTGTATAGAAATTAAGATATTGAAGCTGTTATGCAAGGTGATTGATAGTGATTGATGCTGATTGATGGAGTGTGATATGATAAAGAACTTACTCCAAGTAAGTTGACTTGTATAGAAATTAAGTGAAATGATATTGGAGTTGTTATGCAAGGTGATTGATAGTGATTGATGCTGGTTGATGCTGATTGATGGAGTGCGATATGATAAACAACTTGGAGTTAATCAAGTTGACATGTAGAGAAATTAAGTGAAACGACATTGGAGTTGTTATGCAAGGTGATTGATAGTGATTGATGATTATTGATGCTGATTGATGGAGTGTGATATGATAAAGAGCTTGGAGTAAATGAAGTTGGCTTGTATAGAAATTTAGTGAAACGATACAAGGTGATTGATAGTGATTGATGCTGATTGATGCAGTCTGAAATAAAAAAACTTAGAATACATCAAGTTAACTTATATCAAAACTAACTGACATGATATTGGAGTTGTTATGTAAGGTGATTGATAGTGATTGATGTGATTGATTGATCTAATAAAAATACATATATAGAAACTATATGAAATGATAAAGGGAGGTGAAGAGGCCATTGAAGCGACGACGCCATAGCGTGGCTACGATTGACGGCATCGAACGAGGAAGAGTTGAACAAGATCACAAAAAATATGATAAAAAACTTGGGTATATATAAATATATATCAGAAACAATTTGAGCTATTTTTCTTTTCTATTTTCCTTTAAATTGAATGAATACAAATCTGCAGATTTGAAATATTAACTTTAACTTTATTTGACTGCATAAAAATTAATATCAAAAGTAATAAATAAAACTGAACTCTAAGATTAGTATGAAAAGTGTTAAAAAAATGTTGAAAGACAATAAAATGTTAGCAAATATTGACAATTTGTTTAATAGTTTTCCTCTTTTGTTGCTTGAATTTGAATGCTTGAATTTTGCCTGCAAAGAGCGGCGCAGCATCCGTATGATTGATAATGTAATAGAGGAATGGATGATGGACTTTAAAGTGAATGGGCTCCGACTCGATGATCATCATTTCAGACATGACTAGAGCTATACGAATGAATGAGAAGACAAAACATAGATATTGAACAGTTAATTCCCATTAATAAAAGATAGAAGTTAATAAAGACCAAGATGAAGAGAAGTAAGTGATGAATGTGGGCTATTTATGGGGTAGAGGTCAAGAGTTCCAACGGATTAATTTGAATGTTCCACTTTATAAACTTTATTGTAGCATGCAATACAGAAACAATACACATATCTGATGGGACTTATACAATAAATATAATCTAATTAAAATTTTTGCCCTTTGCCCGCAAAGAGCGGTAAGCCCTTTCTATTGGATATATAGTAGAGAAATGGACGGTCCACATGAAACTGAATGGGCGGTATCTCGAACGTACACGATGTTATGCGACACATGATGATAGCTGCAGAGAATGAGAAGATTAAAGACAAAACAACAATATGGGAGGAGGTAGTATAGATGCGATATGAGCTGATGTCAAGTGAGAAGGAGGAAGTATAGAATGGAACACAGACAGATAAATTGACCAGGAGCAGAAGAGACTAGATCTAGGCTGAGGCCAGAGTAGGGCATAAGCAATCTATAGAGCATTTCCAAGCTGAGTGGAAGTAGAGTAGAAATGATCTGAATTGAAAGTCCAGATAAGATAGGAAATTGATTAAAATCTATTGATAACTAAGCTGCAGAGCCACAAATAAATACCAATAAATGAATCAGAAGTCATTAAGTACATAAAGTTCGATTAGATTATTCGAGGCATAGATGGAACTACATAGACAGAAGATCGAACTACATAGACTAGATCGAAGCTATGTTGGAGTAAAGAAACATTTACAATTCATTAGATAAGTGAACAGAGAGAGAGACAGTTTCGATTGATATATGCGAAACGCCCTTTATTAACTTAATAAAAATACCCGTTAAGTTTTCTAAATAATTCTAATTGTAGCTTTTGCTCGTTGCGTTTTCTAATGCCCTTGCTAAAGCTCTTCGTGTTCTGCTGTCGTTGATGTTGTTGTTGTTGTTGTTTTTGTTGCATCAAGTCGAACGACGGCGCCCACAAAGAGGGGCAACTGCTCCCTGTGGTTCAGCATAAAGATGAATGGATGATCGGCATGGAACTGGAGCGGCTCTCCTAACGAAACGATGCATCGCTTCCTGCGCACCACGGCGGCTAACAATGAGAACAGACAAAATGAGAGACAGAGCGAGAGCGAGAGAGAGAGAGAGAGAGAGAGAGAGAGAGCGAGCAACGCAGACAAGATGGGAAGGTGGTACCAGAGATGAGGATGCAATAGGATGCCCTTAGAAAATTGGTTCATCTTACCCGTTGCAGCAGCTGCCTCGGTGCCCTCCTCATTGACATCGATAAAGGCCTTGTGTATGATAGCCGAGACCTTCAAGGCTTCGGGACTCTTCAGCATCTTGCCAAACTCGGCCTGATTGGAGAACAAGCGTGTCATGCCCAGCTGCAAGTGGATGTGGCGATGGTACAAATGGTCAAACGTATAGAAATCAGCTGCTCACCTGCTGGAAAACGGGCGTCAGTTCCACCTCGAATTCGGCTTTGAATTTGGGCAGCTTGACTATCACTTGTTGGCTCTGCAGCTTCTCTGTGATCTTTGAGAGTGGCGTGCCAAGCAGCTGCTGCTCCAGTTGCGGCAAGCCCGTTTTGCTATTGGGCAACACGATTAGCATGGACAGATCGGAGTCTTTGTAGGGCAGCTCCAAGGCGGCGGCATTCAGATCAGGCAAATTGGCATAGCGAAAACGCTCCTTAACATTCATCATGGGCACCTCCACGCCGTCGACGTCGTTCAAATGGAATCTCTCATTGCGGGTGGCGTGCTCCGGAAACTTGTGCACCCAACTGCCTTTGAAGTGGATCGCATTGATGAGCACCAGACGGGTCTCGGCGTCCAGCAGGCTGGGCGGCACCAGATTTTTAATCAAGTTATTCGTTTGCTGCTCCACCCAGGAGTTAATGATGCCCGCCGCCTCGACGTTTCGCTCGAACTCCACATTCTCGGCAGCCGACAGGAACTGTTTCGAGAGCAACTGATTAAATACGTCATTCAGCTCATAGTTCTGCTTCACATAGATCTTATTAGCTATTCGCAATATGGAACTTTTCTCATATTCAGCGAGCACTTGATGAAAGCTTTCAGCTATTTGGTGAACGTCGCTGGACACCAAGCCAAGGCCACGATCCAGTTGGGCAGCTGTTTCGCCATCAGCCCCCAGGCGAGCCATTGCAGCGCAGGTTTGTATCGAGAAAGGTGAGAAGACCACATTTGTATTGGGCTTCAAGGCAATTAGTTTGCCGTACAAATTGTTAGAGAATTCGCCAAGTCGTTGGGAAAATGCCACCAAATTATTTCCCTCTGGATTGGCCATGATTTTCGTGGGTGAGCTATGGCGCTGAGCAAATGAAATTGGCAGCAAGAACAGTAACAGTAACAGCAACAGCGAGTGGTTCACGCAGCCTGCAAATATTGGGAATGATGTCAGAAATTCAGTAAAGTATCAACTGTGAATGATTTCATAAATTTTATGTAATTCCCACATTCGATGAGTCACCTCGTCGTTTGTTGTACAGTTTGTTTTGCTGGCGTTGTTTAGCCGTCTTGCTATTTTTTATTCACAAAATACGCGTGACAAATGATTTTATTTTGCGTGTTTGCGGCTTTCTCCAATGTGAAGAGCGTTTTATTTGTCCAATTATATTCTTTCCTAATGACAAGCAGCAACTCCTCGTCTAATTCGCACAGGCAGGCGTCTGAACACCAACTGAAGACAACGGCGCAGTGCTCTGCTCATTTTACGTACCGTATGTGTGAGTGTGTTTTTGATACTTAGTGCTTGATTTGCTCTCTCTGTTTTGTTTCCTCTTCATTATTTCTATGGTCACCCTCTTAAGAATATGATAGATACGATTCTCTTTCACTCCATATACATGCCAGCGTGCTAAGCGCTGTTTGTATACATGTACTGTACTCATATGTATGAGTGTGTTTGACAGTCATTTAATTGCCTCGTTTGCTCTTTTAATACTGTTTAAGAGCTTTGGATACGTGTCGGAGCTTTAAGTTGGTTCTCTCTATACATTTTACAGTCTACAATTTGTATGTGTAGGTATAGATAGTGCAAGAGCTAACTCTCTCACTCTCTCTCTCTCTCTAACTAAGAGTGACTTTTTACTAAAACGAACGGTTTCTGACATCAATTTTCTTTTCTCAGTTGCAATTTTACGCTTAAAGTTTGAACAACGTGGCGCGTAATTCCTTTCAATGTTCTGCGACGTCGAAAGTAATGAGTCAGATTTTGAACAAATCAAGTTGGAGTTTACATGGCGAATCCCTTCATTTTCTGCTATGAAATTCGCTGACCGAAACGCTCCCATTAAATCGGAAAAGTTTGCCGAGTCAAAAAGTGGTTTAACATTTCATATAAGTTTTGGAATAAATGAAAATGGAATACTATATTTAAAAGTGGAGCCCAGTTATACATATATAACTGATACTCCTTATTCTGGGGTTTACAAAGTTGAATGTTTATTTAGAGGACTATGTATAAAGGAATTTGGTCAAAGGCTACCGTTGTCGTCGGCTCAAGGCCTGCTAACATATGATAAAACTGTAGATGGTGATCATGGATTTTTGATAAACGATACGCTTGTAGTAAAATGTAGGATTATAGTAACATTTTTGGAGAAACGGTACTTTCCTAAGTTTGGAGTACTTAATTATCGATTGCCTGAACATATTGCTGCTTTACTTAACGCCGATGAAAATTTCGATGTGACGCTTGTGACTCATGACGAGCGTGTGATACCGGTTCATAAGCTCATATTATCAGGTAAAATCAGATTGCTAACCATACAATACATGCATAAAACGATCGAGAAACAATTTTTAGCTCAACTGCTCTCTCTCTCTCTCTCTCTCCCACTCTTAATCTCATTTAATTCTCTCTGTTTCTGTATACATGCATATATGTAAGAGTTTTTTCTCCACTAAGAGAGAAGAAATGCAAATCAGTTTAAGGCTTTGATGCGCTCTTGCCGAACTTTTGCATGATAATTGTTTTGAGTGTCAAAGCGTTGAAGCACTTAAGAAGCCTGTTCCTCATTCCATAAGAGTATAAACACACGTGCCGCTGCCCGCTTAAATTATATATGCATGTGCATTGTTTCTATGTATTGTGTTGTCTCGTATGGCTAGTGATGGACTTTAAAATAAACTCAATTGAAAATTTCAATCTGAATATTTGCAGCACGAAGCAAAGTTTTTGCGGCTATGTTTAAGCATCCAATGGAGGAGAGTAAGAACAATCGTGTTAAGATTGATGATATTAGCTATGACGTCTTGAAGGAGCTGGTGCACTTTATATACACCGATGATGTTCCGAACTTGGCGCAAATGGCGGAAGATCTGCTAGGTCCAGCTGATAAATACGAACTCGAAAGATTGAAGGCAATGTGCCTGAAATACTTATACGATAATTTATCGGTTGAGAATGCGGCTAAAACGTTCTACTTTGCGCATCTTTACGAAAATGACGATCTTAAGACTGCCTCGATTGAATTTATTAAACAGAATGTGGAAAGTGTTATCAAAACACCCGAATGGCAGAATATTATTAAAGCACATACGACTCTAATCTGCGAATCATTCGTTGATAAGCAATTTTTAAAAATTAATGAAGATACTTTACAACCAAAAGTGGACTAAATAAATTAGTTTTATAATATTTGAATTTCAATACAATATAATATATATGTATTTAAAAATTCATACTGAATGGATTATTGTAAAATCTCTAAATGATTTTCGAATATGTAATTATAATATTTGAATTACAATACAATATAATGTAAAAATATGTATTTAAAAATTAATGGATATGGATATTCAACATTCAACTTAGAGATCTATTCAAATGGGCTCTTTATCTATTGTTTACTCTCTATGCAGAGCGCATTTCAAATAAAAATAAAGCTCTCAGTATTTATTGTTTTATTGTGTGCTGTTTCTAAATACAATGCGCTCTTACGTGCGCCTACTGATAACTGCGTGTCAAACTTAATACACTCTTAGTTGCTACTCTTACACTTTTATGCATGCGTGTATTTGGACACACAGCCGTTTAACTGGGTAGCACTCAGTGTCGGTCATTCTTTGCGGCTCGTGTATTCACTCTTAACTGCACCTATGTATGATTGCACTCTCTCTTTTACATTTTTATGAATGAGGCGCTTTTGCTTGCCTATTTAAAATAACTTACAGTGTAATTGTAAAAGTCGCGGCATTTTAATTGCGTTTATAGTTATAGTTAGAGTTTATAATTGGTATTAAAACAGCACTGTTAAACTTGTTTTGCGCACAGACGAGACAAACGTGCGATTCAAACTGAAAGACAATGTGCTTACTAATCTTATTTGTCCGCTTATCAGCTGCTCCAAGTCAAAATTAGACCTGGTTATTAGTATAGCATCAAGAAGAATAGTATTAGTATATGTACATATGTACATGTGAATACATGTATTCTGATAAGCAGAAATTGTAAGAATAATTCTTACTCGAAGCTATTTTTCTGATTAGAACATTTCTGCTGTATCTCTCTCTCTCTCTCTCATTTACCATTTAAAAATTATAATCAGAATATCGCTAAAATGAAGAGAGCCTAATTAGCTATACATGTTACATTGCTTTTTGCTAGGCAACTACCAACAAGAGTTGATTTTTCATTTGAGTCCCTTTTTATATACTGAACCCATCAAATTGGAAAATAAGAGTATATAGACCATGTTAAAATGTATGTAACAGGCAGAAAGAGGTGTCACACAATAAGCAGCAAAAATTAACTGAGCCAAAAAAATTTACTGCTCGCTCTCGTTACCACTTTTATCGATTCAATTCAAATTATTGCTGTCTGACTCACTCCATGGGTTAGTCTCCACTATATAATCGATCAAGTCGGTTGTGTTATTCAAAATTCTCTCTTTTTCTTCGGTTTGCCTTACTTTTAATTTTAGCAGAGTGTATATGGAATAAATTATTTTAGTATATTGTTATTTATTATTATGTGAGTGATTTATATATTATATTTAATTAAAAAGTGGATTCCTATCTTTTTTGTAGCGAGGTTTTTAAGCAGTGAACGAAATTCAACTTTTGCTTGTGTTTTTTTGTGCTGTACTATCTGTTCTATATCTGTATATATAGAAGTGAAAAAAATAATATACAGTCGTGTACTTATCGCTGCCCTAGTTGTCAAAATAACAACAGTCATATGTGACAATAGGAGGTGGTAGTTGTATATAAATGTGACGCAATTCTTCTTAAAATCTTCTACTCTACTACTACTCTACTCTACAATAATTTTCAACAATTGCATATCAAATAAAGTGCACCAGCTCCTTCAAGGCGTCATAGCTAATATCATCAATCTTAGCGCGATTGTTCTTACTCTCCTCCATTGGATGCTTAAACATAGCCGCAAAAACTTTGCTTCGTGCTGCAAATATTCAGATTGAAATTTTCAATTGAGTTTATTTTAAAGTCCATCACTAGCCATACGAGATAACACAATACATAGAAACAATGCATAGGGACATCCATATGTATATACACTTACGCACCCAAGTACACACGAGTGTACGTGTGTGCGTGTACCTTAAGGAATGAGAAATACGCTTCTTAAGAGCGTCGACGCTTTGACTCTCTTGCATGAGCGTGGCGAAGTCTTAAACTGATTTGCATTCTTTTCTCTTAGTTGAGAGTTAATTCTTGCATATATGAATACATACAAATAAAGAAAGAGAGATTCAAATAAGATCAAATGAGATTAAGAGAGAGCGAGGGAGAGAGCAGTTGCTCAACTGTAAGCTAAAAATGGCTTCTTGATAAAATCCTTAATTTCGAATAGTTTCTTTTGTTTTTATTTTCCATTTCCATTTCCATTTTTGTGTAAGCTGCGGAGATGAGCATGAGGGCAGATCCATGGAGCGACTTTGCCCGGGAGCTGTACACAGCGGCATTTGATAAGGGTGTCGTGGAGCGCGGCTGCAATGCTGTCATCTCGCCCATCTCAATACAAACTTCACTGATGCTAGCCTTAGTGGGTGCGGCGGGCAGAACGGCCGAGCAGCTGCGCGCGGGTTTGCGACTGGATTCCGGCGATCTGCAACATATTGCGAGATACTATCAGGCCATGTGGACGCAGCTGTGCAGCAATGGTAAGGGGATAACATTGAAGTCTATGAATCGTTTGTTTGTGAATCAGAAGCTCAGCGTGCACCGGGAGTTCAACGCAATGGCGGAGAAGTATTTCAACTATAAGCCGGAGCCACTGAACTTCGCCGACCCGAACGGCGCCACGCAGCAGATCAACGAGCTGGTCGAGCTGGCAACGGAGCATAAGATACGGGATCTGCTCCAGCCGGATGCTGTAAATGCTGAGACGAGCGCAGTGCTTGTGAATGTCCTGTACTTTAAGGGCCTCTTCAGGAAGCCCTTCACGCCGGAGTGGACAACGAGCGACGACTTCTACATTGACCAGCATAGGCGAGTCGAGGTGGACATGATGTATCAGGAGGATAAGTTCAAGTATGTCGAGCTGCCCGAATTGGAGGCGCGAGCCATTGAACTGCCCTTTGAGGATTCCGATATCCAGCTGCTCATAATGCTGCCCAACAAAGTCTGCGGCCTACGCGAGCTCGAGCAGCAGCTAAGCCAACTCGACTTTGCTGATCTCGAGCAGCGCATGCATATGGTGGATGTGGATATCGCTTTGCCTCGCTTTGGCATTGAGTTCGATTTGGATCTTACTGAGACGCTAAAATTGGTAGATCATATATATATCTCATCTATATCTTTGTCGGATGTTAATTGCATTTTCTTTTCTTTTGATAGCTAGGCATTTGCGATGTCTTTGGCAATACGGCCGATCTGAGTCGACTCTTCCAAGATGCCACAGGCCAAAAAATCTCTGCTGCCAAACATCGAGGCTACATTGACGTGAATGAGGCGGGCTGCGAGGCAGCTGCTGTGACCTGTAAGCTATATAGATAGATAACTGTCTCTCTTTCTCTTTCTCACTCACTCTCTCTCTTACATACGTTTTATAGATCTTAAAGTCGTGCCCATGAGCTTGATTATGCACAAGAAGACCTTCAAGGTGAATCATCCGTTTGTCTTCTTCATACGCAGTAGTAAAGTCGTTTTGTTTGCGGGTCGCTTTGTGGCGCCACAGTTGGGGGCGAGTCGTGAGCCCACGCCCACGCCCACACACAGCCACACCCACACCCACACCCACACCCACACCCACAGTTCCCTAAATAGTGGAGCTCGAAAATAATTGTGCTGAATAATCATAGTCTATATATGTATGTACCGGTGTGTCTGTGTCTGTGTGAGAGAGACTGTTTGCTTATCTTCATTATGTGCTCTAAATTAGGCAATCAAATATATGTACAATTAGTTTTATCAGAAATTCATCTTTTATCTCCGAACTGCGGTTTGCAATAATAGAGTGGCGCCATCTGTCATCTGTCATCTGTCATCAAAGAGTTGACAATATAAGCAGCGCATTGATGGCAAGCAGTGCCAACTGCATTATTATGGAAGCACTTGCATTGAATCTACAGTGGCGCCATCTGTTGGAAACTAGAAGCAAAATACATTCTATTGTTGCTGGCAGTAGCCGCATTTAGCTATTTACTTCGCAAGTATTGGAATATTCAAACAATATTTACCCTCACTTCAGGGTGATCTTTATTTTGGCTGGCGATCAGGTAACTCTATGTAGAAAAGATAATGAACGCTAGGTGGCGTTTGGTGGCATTTTTGGAATTTCTTGCAATGTTTGCAACGGAAATTGAACTTAAATAACCTGAGAACTTAATAAGTGAACATTTTTGTACTCTTGGACTTCAGCTGGAATTAGCTACGACTGCTTTTGCAACCTGTTGGCCTTTTGACGTTGACTCAAGACCTGCAGCTAGTTTTCAGTGAACTTTAAGCAGTTGCCAAGACACAAGTACACTGAGAGAAATGCAAAGAATCTTCAAACTTAAATCTTCATAATCCTTCCTACCTGAGTTACATACAAATCGCGGCTTGAGCTTAATGAGCAGGTACTTATTTCAAAGAAAGGTGTGCTTTTTATAGTTACGAACTTACCCGACTTCTTCTGCAAGTGCCCAAATAGTTGCCATGCATTGCGCTGACTCAATAAACGTCTCTTTGGGCTAACCAAGTGGAAGCTAATAAATGCCAGCACTCAGTTTTTTCGTCTTTGGCCTGCATTCAATGTCAAGAGCAGCTCGTAAATTGTGACTGAATAACAGCGAGATGTAAAAGAAGAAGATGAAGAGTTAAAGCAACTACTTTGATTAGTTTTAGCTGCAGTTACTGCTGATCTCGAATGGGGATTGCAATGAGTTAGTTTGGCAACGGCTCGGGTCGTCATCAGTCTCAATGGGCCTTGCGCTCATATATTGTTGCTGTGTGTCCTGATGCACGTGTCCTGGCAACCAGCAGGCAATAAATCAAAGCTGCTGCAGCTATCACTTCACAGCAGATAGAGAGAGAGAGAGAGAGAGAGAGATAGGAATAGCCAGAGAGCTGATGGCGAAATTTGAATGCCAGCGTTAAGTGACCAATGTATAAAGCACACACACACACATAATACATACACACACACACAGACGTATGCTAGCACACACACTAATACTCACACACGAATGCGAACTCTGAGCAAAAACTCCACAAAACACGCGAAGCAAATTTGCTTCTCTTGATACTCTACAAAGTGGGTCGTATGAACTAGAACACATAGAATATAGAATATAGAATATAGAATATAGAATATAGAATATAGAATATAGAACATAGAATATAGAATATAGAATATAGAATATAGAATATAGAATATAGAATATAGAATATAGAATATAGAATATAGAATATAGAATATAGAATATAGAATATAGAATATAGAATATAGAATATAGAATATAGAATATAGAATATAGAGACTATAGAGTGTAGAGTATTTAATATTCGCATCATTTTAAACCATCCATTTTATCTTCTTACGCTTTGATATGTTTATGTTTGGGCCAAGTTTAGTTTTTGTGCCTTTTGCTGTTGCGACGGCTGTACTGGTTGACCTCGGCTGACAGACAATACCGTTTGGGAATGACAAACAGCTTGTAGGTTAACTTGAGAAATGTAAGGTTTAGCGAGGGCGGCTACAGTAGTTGCGGAGGTTATGCAAGGGAGAGAAATGGAATTAAATGGGCAAGGAAGTGAAGTCTAGAAAGTAGATCATGTGTTAACCATTATAGTATGTATCTTCATTAGATCAGTTAACTCTTGTGGCTACCCTCGCTGCAGCAGATTTTTTATATAAATACTACAAGCTGAGCTTTGTTCCATTCATGCGGCTCTGAGCCTTTGACACTCGAGCTTAATCGATATGAATCGTTATGAAAATCAGCAGCAGCAACAATTGCCAGCAGCAGCAGCAACAATTGCCAGCAGCAGCAGCAACAATTGCAGTCACGTGAGATATAATTAGAGCGAGCATTTTAATTAAATTCGCCTTTTGCTGCGGTATTTCGCATTGGACACGAATGTTGGAGGGAACTTGGCACGGCTTCAGCTTCTGCTTCTGCTTCTTCTTGTTCGTGTCTAACACGCTGCTGCGGTACACTAATTGGAACAAAATCTGCTTGGCGAAGAAAACTTCGCTCGGGTTGTTGTCCCCAACCACCGAAAAACACAAATTCTGCGTTTCGCGTTACCAAATTGAAATTAAAATGGCGATAGAAACCGCAGCGGAAACGGAAGGAAATGCCAAGCGATGCAACAGCAGCAACAGCAATGGCTGTCATAGGAGCAGCAGTAGCAACAACAAAAGCAGCAGCAACACAAGCGACAAAAGCGGCAACAGCAGCAGCAACAGCAGCATCTGCAGCAATAACAACAGCAAATAAAAAGCAAATTTCACTGCTCAAGGTGGCAATTGGCAATTGCAGCTTCTCTACAAGGTTAAGCTGGTAGTGGGTGGAGCATCGAAGAGGCACATTGATGTGGCAGCTGCTGCTGCTGCTACTGCAGCTGGCGCTGACAACTCCTTGGCAACGACAACAGTTGCGCTCAAATTGGCAAACGTTGGCAATTAGGGAGGTAAAAATCGAAATAAAAAAGGAAAGTGCATAAGTACTCTCGTCGGGAGTGCACGACTAAGGTCTACCCTGCTCAATCATGCGACGCCTCTCACACAGCAAGCATGGCAGGCTAGACGCAGCTCGTCCTGCTGATATATGCCTGATGGAGGCGAGCTTGCCTCCTTCTGTCTGTCGCATGCAGCTGCTCATAGGCATGCTACCCTCAGTTCGCCCTTGCAATGGGTGCAGGGTATACGACTGAAAAGAAGACGATAAAGTTACATTCATAATTCAATAAATGCAACGCAGCAAGAATTAAATTTCAATGCGCCTGAAGACGTGCATTGAGCATCGAGTAGCGAGTATCGAGTAGCGAGCATCGAGTATCGAGTCTGTCCTAACTTCAACTGCAGGATAGAAAAAGACGTAGAACATTTTACAATTGGATATTAAACTTTCATAAATTGTCGCCACTTAGCTGTTTCCTAGGGCTAAGTACACTGTAGGCGTGGCAAATCGAGCTATATATTGCTACCATATCAATCTCCATTGCTCAGAGCTGTAGCTGTCTCCCACACTAAGCGTAAATAGGAAACTGAAATGTGACAATTGTAGTCTATCTTAATATATATGCTATATAGTATGGCTGACTTTTGCATGCATGACAAACTATCTTTTACAGTTATGCATAGCTGTAACTAACAAGACTACAAAAAGGCGTGGCAAAGAGCAGGCAGCGACTAGCCTTAGTCATACAGTTTTACAGCTATAAATAGTCTAAGCTATGCTGATCTACTCTACAGTTAGCTTCAGGAGTTCTATGGCTCGCTTACTAGGATCGATCTAAGCATCCGCTTCTGTCAGTCTGTCAGTCTGTCGGTCTGTCTGAAAGGCTCTCCTTCAATTGTGAATTCCTTTAGCATTCTCTTTCTCAGTTACTCCACCACTTTCTTATTATCGATAAGTAATCGATCAGTTGGGTATTTGAAGCTTACTGCGCAAGTTTCTGTATTGACTACACAGATTTGGAATACTTTTGATCTTGGTTACCTTTTCGCTTCATAGATGCCCACCGCCTTGCTGTGCTCAGGGTATTCGCTAGTTGGGCACTCCCGCCTACAGCCAACTTATTTGTTATCTAAATAACTTGACAGTTAATATGCAAAAGAGGACTTCTTTTCTTCTGATATCAGCTAGAAATATTTTAAAGTCAAGGCAGTAGCTGCTGCTGCTTGGCCTTGCTTAGCTTAGGCAGCTACAGCCAGCCACCTGGAGCTAGGCGCAATTGTGCACATGTCAGTTGCACCTTTTTTTAGCTCAGCAAGGTAACTACAGGTGTGCCAGAGGCCAGCAGAGAGTTGCATCTATGATTTTTGTATATGTTCTTGCCTAGCAGCTGCACATGGCAACTTTGGTAATTAAGGAATTATGTCATGCGCACCTTTGCACACTAAAAGCCAGGCAAAGAGTTTCATCTCTTAGCCGTTCTCCCCCTCTTCCCCGCTCTCTCTGTCACCCTCTCTGTGCATATTTGTGATAGCTTTTTGGTTGCTATGGCATTTGCTTTGTGCAGATTTTGTTTGCATATTGCAATTGGCATTTAATTTTCAGAAAGTTTCCCGCAAGCATTTTGCAATCACATTTATCACAATTTTGCCACAAGCCAGTCGAGAACGAGTTGTCCATTTAATGGCTTCCACTTTTCGGGATCAGCTCCATCTGCTTCTTGCTCTATTCGGATTAAGAGCCAGGGCACAGTTCGAAGTGCAGAAGCGAGAAATGAAAATAACAAATTTCCAGGAAACCAAATTGAAACTCGTATTGAACTTACGAAAAAATGCCCAAAAAATAACAACTTTTAAATGCATTTTCACCTGAAATACGCACACTCACACACCCACACACACACACACACACACACACACAGTTGGCAAAGCTACCGCAAAAAGTGATAATAAAAATTCGTGTTCGGGTTGCAGGCGCTAGCCATGAACGCTTCACTGCGGCCATTGGGTCGCTGTAACTGCAAAAGCATCATTAAAACATACAACGAGTGCTCGACTAAGAGATACCCTATCTATCTTAGGCTAACAGCAAATGCTGTCTAACTCAAGTCTAGATTCTAAATAGGTTGGCAATCCCCAAAAAGAAAGCCATTTAATTGACTACACCTGCGCTTGATCGACTAAGAGATACCCTGCACTTGGAGAAACTCGCCTAGTTCATCAGATGAATCTATTATTACAGCTACGTTTTCTCAGATTCTTAGGCGCCCAATAGAACTAGTCAGCTTTAGAGCAAAGTGTCTGGC